GCGTGCCGCATTTAGTGGCAATCAGGTTCACCTCCTCGATGGCGGCTGCCATTCCACCTGTTGACATCATCCTGTACATGAAGGCAGCACACCACTTATGCAGGTCCTCTTTCGAGATATGCAGATTGGCGTAGCCCTTCAGCTGCTCCTCGAGCTCGTTGTACTTAACTTGCACGACAGCCAATTCCTGCTCCAGGGTTGATACCTGTCTCGATTTCTCTTCCTGGACGATCTTCTCGATCAAGACCTGATCTCGTTCAGCTCGCGCCAAAAGCAGCTCTTCCTTTAATTTTCTTATGTGCATTAGGTTCGATATCGAGCATGCACTCATCTGTATACAGTCGAGGCGTTAAGGAAGGTTTCTCTAAACCATGGTCACAAGCATATGTAATCAATTACAACAGAAACCTTACCAGCCTTATGCTATCAGTTTCATTCAGCTTCGCGGCAAATTCCTCCAGCAAGGGGCACTCGATCGTGGGTGGCTCACTGAATGTGTGGGTTTGCCACTATCGGTTCTCCCTCAAACAGTTGGGTGGGCAATATTAGTGCCTCTCCCTCGGGAGGGTTTGCACCTTGGTTGGTAGTTTCAGCGACATTTGTCCTTGGCTCCACGGGCGGAACCTGCGGTTCTTCGGCACTAGGGGGGTTAGCTATCTCCAATTGTGCTGGGGACTATGTCGAGGGCATGTCAGATCTTACCTTCTTATTCTTCTCCTTCTCGGAGGCCTTGACGATTCGCCTCTTTTTCTTCTTCTGGCCAGCGACTGCAGTGACCGTAACTTCCTCATCTGATTACAATGGGAAAGGGATCTTCATCACCAAATAATCGAGAACGAGCATTGCTCGAAGATATGACCTAAAAATAAGCAAGGAAATGAAAATAATTAGTACCTTTCTTTTCTTCAAAAGGGGTCTCGAGAGGAGCCCTGAGTGCAGTCTCAACAAGGTTCTCTTCTTCCTTTTCCTCGATAGAGGTGGCAGGAACGAACTGATGTAATGTATCCCATCTCACAACCTTGGAATACTTTTCGAGCTTTTTTCAAGTCCGCCTCGAATTCATGGATCATTTCCTCATCTTCATCCGTCCATTCGTCCTTTATCCCCTCATATCCATTGACCTCTCGATAATTCTAGGCGACACGGTATTTCTCCAGTGCCACTACATAAAGAAAGTTTGGCTTCCATATGGGGGACCCACCATACCCCTATACTATCTTCCTAGAACCAGAAGCCAGATTTCTCTTTACTATATACCAGTCTTGGAAACTTGTCGAGGGCGTAGATACTCTAAAGAAATATCTCCAAAGGAAGACGGACGGTCTCATCTTTACTCGTTGAAAAATTTTCACAAATTCGAGAACGTAGGTAATCAGATTTGGGGTGAAGCGTTCTAAGGGGATTTTATAATAATCAATGATCTCCTCGAACAAACGAAAAAGGGGGAATCTCATACCTAAGAACATAAATCTGCCATATATGGTGATTTTTCCTTCTGGAGGAGTATTGGCCCTCTCGTTTCCTAGGAGGGCTCTAGCTTCTAGATCTAGGGGCAGGTCATATTTGGCTTTAACAAAATTTACCCTCTCAACACTATTTACGGAGGAGGCGAAGTCGTCAACTGATCTCTGGTTTGGATCTCTAGCCATGATTATCTATTTGCAGGAAAATAGTGATTTACGCTACAAATTCGACAAGAGAAATCTAAAACGGAATTCAAGCGTTCAGATCTGAGGACTTACTGTTGAACGGGGGAAAGACCACTCGCCTTTGGAATTATAGCCTCCCAATTTCTTCGTGATCCCTCAGTCGTGGGTTTTCCGGCGATAATGTTACCGGAGCAAGTATGTTGAACCAGGACTATGGGTATTCCGGCAGCTAGGGTGCTTTGGCAGAGAATAGGACCTTAGTATTTTGGGATGAAATAGAGAGAAGTGAGCTTTTGAGAGTTCTTCTGGGTATTTAAGGCCAGAGTTAAATCCTCCACGTTTTTGCGGTTACAGCCCACGCTTTGACAGTTTGGGAGAATTTTAAGGACACCGTAATGATGATGAAGCCGCCATTTGGGGAACGTGCCCACTAATGGTTCGCGGTTGAATAAATTGGGCGGGATTATGAAGCGGGTTGCCTCCTCTCCCCAGGTCGGATCGTGGTTAGTGGGCTACGCGTTAAGCTTCCTCGATGCAACATAGATCGAGGAAGACACACTCATGTTGGGCCTGCTTTCCGTACTACTGGACCAGTCTTGTCCATTACTCTTGGGCCTGTTCCAAGTAAGGCTATCTTGTGTCAAGTATTGTTTATCTTGTACAACTAATACTTGACAGGGGCACTTGACGGGTCCATATCCATTACCAATACTGGACCGACCCATTAATCGCGTAGGAGGCCCAACCGAGTCTGATAAGGCGGTTTAGGTAACCAGAACCTAGTAATATTCGGTTATCGCATAGGTGCTATCATGCCTCTAAATAGATTTGGTCGCACCACAATACGGGTACACAATTAACATACTACGCATTCAGACGTTCCTAAAACCCTTTACTGACTTAAGCATCGGAGTGTCTACCATCGGGATATCCCCGAGGCTTTATTTTGCAGGAAACTCTAACCGGAGTTCCACTGTTAGATCGGCAGTGTAGAACCAAGCCTCGTCATTTTGTGTGTTTAATTTTTTATATACATAAATTATGTTTGTTTTTTTTTTTAAAGTTTAAGTTCGTGTGTCAAGTCTATTGAAGAGGTTTAAGTTTTTTAACTTTACTTTCATAGAGTCTTTTGATTCCTTGAAAGACTAGTTTTTTTCTTAAATTCTCGATTGACTTTGTGTTAGACGACGTGTGATATTGAGACAAGCCTGATTCTTTCTTTTTTGTACTATTTCTGTGTGGATCATTGGAATTTATTTCTTCCCTGTGTTATAACTTGTGTCCATTGAGGACAATGTTCATTTTAAGTTTGGGGGAGAAATATTATATTTTTGAGAAATAGTGCATGTCCAAAAATAAATGATTCTGATCCATTCTCTCAAATTGACCAAATTTTTTGCGAAAATTCTTTCATGTCATGTTTTTGGAATTTGACTGAATGCAAAAACAGATTCCTATGTACTTCATTGCAAATTCTGCATTTGTGATTATTCTAGATGATGTTGCCATGAGTTAAATCACACATTGAGCCAATTCTTTTTGTGAGTTTCTGAGCCTAAAAGAGCATATCATCATATTAATGCTCATTTTTTCTTTTTGGTGTGATTAGCATGCATAAGTAAAAAAGATCCAGAATTCGTCTTTGTTATACGTATCATTGCCACATTGATTGAATGTTTTGAGATGAAAAAGGCACTTAGTATCCTTACTTTGGCCTATTTTTTTTCCTACCCCTATAAAAAGTTTCCTTTAAGATTAACCACTCAGAGCCTTGACCTTTTTCTTTGTTTAGGCCACATTATAAGCCAATAAACCTTTCAGCTGTTTGAGCCTTCATTCATTCATAACCCAAATGAATATCTGTTTGATTGCCGAAGGAGTTGTGCACTATCTTTATAGCAATTGGATCTTAAATTTCTCATCTTTGATACCTGGTAATGTGGTTAAATGTGAAATTTTCTCATGGGGGTTTGTTCAATTTGTGATGGAGCTAGTTTTTGTTTATACGGTTGGTGTTTTTGGGTTTGTCTGTGTTGAAAATGAAAAAAGAAGAAAAGAATGCGGGAAAAAAATTTTAAAAAAGGAAAAAAAAAACACCGAAAAATCAGAAAAAAAAGTGCAGTAAGTTTGTTTACTGGGGTTCTTGAATTATATCACTTCTTAGCTCCAAGAGTGGATAAAAGGACAATTTGATGTCCAGTTTTGTATCTATCTAACTCTTGTCTTTATAAATTATATTGAGAAATCTCAGAGGTTGCAGATGATGGTCTTCGAGAATTTGATTTATAGTGAATTGATCCTTGAGCTTTGTGTAAAGTATTTGTGTGATTAAGTATGAATATTCCTTCCTTTAAGCCTATACATATAAATCCTTCCACACCTTGTCCTAAGCCACATTACAACCTTTCAAAGACCTTTTGATTGAAACACTGCTTTCATTTTCAGTGCAAATGACATGATATCTTTACGAACCTATGATTGACTTTTTACTTTTTGCATTACTTTGAGAGTTTTGCTTGTTAAATACTATTCCCTCCGTCCCATAATTATTGTCAACTTTGGCAAAAAAATTTTGTCCCAAAATTATTGTCCAATTTGACTTTTTATGGATCAAGTTACACATTTGTCCTTAGTAAAAAACATTATCCATAAAATGTTAGTGGTTAAATAATTATTTATGTAGGGATATATCCGGTTGTTTAAGGTAAAATATAGTTAAGTTTGACCAAAAATAAAATCTTTCATTTTAGTAAAACTGGACAATAATTATGGGACGGAGGGAGTATCACTTTTATACTTTGAGCATATTGAGTGAATCCTTTTATGTGAGCGCGATGATTCTTTTGGCAATCAAGTTTGGAAAGATAACTTGGCAAAGATTTGTGATGATTGTATATGTGGAATGTGCTTTGATGCTATATCTCATTCGTGTTCATATTCGAAACCTTGGCATGGCTACGTAAACTTGTTTTGAAAATAATTTTCAGTGGTCAATCTTGGTGGTTTGATAGTTTAGAATTGATTTGCTTGAGTACAAGCAAAATCTAACTTTGGTCGGATTTGTAATTAACCTCGGCTTTATAGTAAACCGGTTATTTATTGAAATCGGATTGGAAAGACCTCCGATTTCCAATCGAACCGGTTTAACTGTTCAGTGTGGTCCAATTTTCAAAACATAAATTGTTACATCACACACATCCGATTATTGATTAAATATTGTAAAAACTCTTAAAATTAATATTCTATATACTCTAAGCATGCACTCTATAACAAATACTAACAGAACCACAGTGGCCATAAACACCGGCTAGCGGCAAGTATATCCAACATATTGACTCGAGAAGTTTAGGCTTACATATTTCGGCAACCCATATTGATACTAGTTACGATGGTAGAAAGATCCCTTGGCGTCAGATTGACTATAAGTCCAAACTTCATGAATGACAACATCGAAATCTTCTGCTCCACCTTATGTCCAGGCTCCAAGATCAGTTTGTGCCGGAGTAACACAGCAGCCGCCACCGACCTCATCTGCACATACGCCAAATTCTTACCCAAACAGGATCTCGGACCGGCATTGAACGCCGGAAATTTGAAAGGATCATGCATTACGAATTCCAGGTTTCCACTGCCATCAGGCCCGGTTAGAGACGACGACAACCATCTCTCGGGTTTAAATTCTAAACAATCTTCACCCCAGGTAGACTTCATCCTCCCCGCTGAGTACAAAGACAACAAAATCTCCGAACCCGCGGGAACAAACGTACCGTCAGGCAAAACGTCGTCAGCCACGACATGTTTGAGATTCGCCGGAACTGATGGATACAATCTCAGTGTTTCGGACAACGCCGCCTTTAGATATACCAGGCGGTCAACTTCCTTGAAAGTCAATGTTAGTGGTGGCCTGTTTTTGTCAATCATCCACGTCGACACTCTATCCTCCCCACGTGTCTCAATCAGAACCGCACACAATTCCTTCATGACCTTTTCCTCCACGGATGGGTTTCGCATCAGCAGCCAGAAGAACCAGCTTAGAGTTACTGCTGACGTGTCGTGTCCAGCTAGGATAAAGCTGAGCGACACATCACGCAAGTACGTGTCCGAGCAGGTTTTATCCTTCTTCATGAACCTTGACAACAGGTCGTCCTCCTCCTCCTCCTCATGCAGGATGCGATTCTCATTTCTCAGGTCGAACTTTCGAGCGTCGATGATGCCGAACAAGTAATCATTCAGGTCGGCAAGGCTTCTGCTCAGCTTGCCTTCCATTCCAAGTCCAAACCTCTTCTTCAGCTTCCATAAAAAATGCGGAAAAATCATACGTTGCACGGACGCTTCGGTTGCTGTTTCAAAAGCCGACAAAAACCTGTGACGCGGAAGTCCCGGTGACAGTGTTTGTGGGTCCTTGCCAAAAACAATGCCGCATATGTTGTCAAAACTTAACCTTACCAAGAGGTCTTGCAAATCAACCGGTTGGTCTTCTCGCTGAGCCGCTTCGAGAAACGGCAGCAACCGGTTCTGGATGGCCTGGTTCACCCACCGAGCCATGCTTTCCACCTTCTTCTGGTTGCTGAATTCTGGCGCAGCCGCTTTCCGTTGGCGCAGCCAGATGTCACCATCTGAGTTGATAATGCCTTGGCCGAGCAGATCATTGAAAGGAACGTGCCAGTTCGGACCCTTTGGGTAGTTGTGGAACCGGGTCTTCAGTATGTGCTCCATATTCTTCGGGTCACATGTCACGGTTCGAGTACCTTGCCTCCTTAAGAAAGGGATTGGGCTCAAGCACGCCTGGTACGTGCCGCCACACGCGCTGAGATCTTCGGAGCACCAATCGTGGATCCGATTCGCGTTGTCGATCACAGCGGGAGTGTAGCCCACCAAGGGCCACACTCTAGGTCCCTTGAATGGCCTCGAAATGTAAGTAAACCATAGCAAATAGGAAATGATAATTACGGCAGCCAACATCCAAAGAGCTACGCAAAGTTCCATCTACTTAATTTGGTCTCAAACGTGTGAAATATCTCCACGCTAGTTTCACAATTTTAAGATCTTAAACCAAACATTGCACAGCTTGGTTTTGGTGTTAATTGAAATGTTGTTGAGTGAAAAATAAACTCCTTCCACCTTAAATTAAAAGTTGCGAGTTCAAATATCAAACCATAACTAAAACAGCATTATTGGAGTATTGTTAGAAAATTGTGTGCATGATTGATCATAGGTTTACTTGATACAGATCATATCGCACATGATCAAACCAAATCGAATCGAACTCGGAAATACTAGCGTCATGGACAGCCTGCAAGTCCTGATTTTTCGGGATTTCAAGCAGGTGAATCAACCATGGTGGAATGACAAGTTGTAATTTTCCGGTTAGCGAATAGCCATATTCCAGGACCATATGACCTACTAACGTAAGTCAACGTACAACATTTAGTTACTGCTATCAACCAATAAGGCAATAACTTTCACATTTATTATAGTAGTATAAAAGTTATAAGATTACTCCATATGTTCTTAAAAAATACTGTTGTTTCTTAATATACTAGAATTGTATATAACTACACACGATTCTTGGAGAGGACAAGGTTGTAGCATCATGAGAAACAGGTTGTCGCAGAATATATAAAATACTTGAAAACAATGTAAGTTATACATGACTATATCGGATATAGCATTCATCACCATAGAGAAAAAAAAAAAAAAAAGAAAAGAAAAAGAAGAAGAGGTCAGCTTTAATCCTGCTCGATGGATCCGGATTTTTTGGCGCAGCAAGCGCGATTCGATTATCTTAAACCCAAATGAGATTACAGAAGAGCAACATGCCAAAATCGAAGCTGGTGAAAATTTTCATGTTTTTTAGGAATGGGCTAATCCAATAATGAATCACTTAGGGTGGTCTGTTTTTCAAAGTTTAAGAAATGGTTTGTCAAATTCAAGTTAAATGGCGAAAATTCTTCAATTCATTGAGAAGTACTCCCTTACTCCCGAATGTATATCTAGCTTTTGTACAAGAGTAACAAATATGACAACTATTTTGAGATGTAATGAGAAATTAATAGACTAATAAAGTTACATTCGAAAAAAAAATTTATTTTGCAGACTTTTGTAGACTACTAGTGATAGACTGTACATAAATGGAAGAAATTGAACAAATTAGAAATCCCAAAAGACTACTTATTATGATTAAATATTTTTGGGATAAGAAATTCACAAAAATTGAAGACTTAAAACGTATACCCTGTGGAAAATAACACTTTGAATTTTGTCAAAGCTAACTCAGAAATGACAACTCCAGTTACAAACGAGAAAAATTGCGCATTTATTTATTTATTTATTTTTATTTAATTTTTTTTTAAAAAAAACCTTTTTGTTAAGGTAGTGCACCCTACTTTGTGCCAAAAAAAAAAAAAAAAAAACAGGTAGTGCACCCTACTAAATATTTTATCTGATATAAGCTGACATTTATCTGATATTTTAGCGGCTCAAGGACTGGAGGCTTTTTTTGCCTTCAAGCTCCGCCGTATGAGATAAAGTTGTGTTTGGTGTATGATTTTTTTAGACTATTGTCTCGATAATAAAAATATTTATAACTATATATATGTATTATTGGTTGTAATTTGCATTTTCTACTAAAAAGAAATACAACATAAATATAATATGGACTATTATTTTAAACAACAGAAGTACAATATACTTTAGGGGGCAAAAAACTACAAGTAGTTAACACAATGAAGGAGCCACGTACAAAGAGTGGCATACTGCCCAGCTAAGTCTTGCACATGGCTCCAAGATCCATTTTGGCTTTTAACAATTTAAATACTATTAGAAATATGATTACCTTCGTCACTAAAACAAATACGACAATCTGAAAATTGAGGAAAAAGAAAACTTTGCTTAGATTCCACCGAGCATACCCTCTCAACTAAGTCAAATATGCAATGGAATAGTCAATGTAATAGAATTAATAAAACTTAATTTGATCTGGATGAAATGATTGATTTTCAAACTCAGTAATCAGTAATCAGTTGGATGAAGTGATTGACATTCCACCGGTGCAAGCTGTGATGTATATTTAGCCCAATTCATTGATCCACATCCCACTAAACCTCTTTTCCTTTACTAATACTTTTGCTCTTCGTCTCTAGAGTCTTTTAGTATTTCTCTCAATTTCTAATGGAGGTGGAAGGTATTGTTCGAAACTTGGAGAATAGTGTCGTTATTGTAACTGGCGCAACTGGTTTTCTCGCAAAGGGTATACTCTCCTTCCTTCTCTATCTCTATTTTACGCATGAATTTCTCTTGTTCCTTTCTGCTGATTATTATTTTGGGGAGTTTTGCAGTTTTTATTGAGAAACTGTTAAGAGTTCAACCAAATATAAAGAAGCTCTATCTTCTTTTGAGAGCCGCCAGTCACGAATCTGCCTTACAACGTTTCTATTCTGAGGTACATACGCAATATGCAATATTTAAAGGCTATTAAAATATCACGGTAAAAATTAATTAATTACTATTACTGATGATAGATATTTTCCGATACAATGAAAAATCCAGAGGGAAGTAGTCTCACCCAAGTTTTAAATTATGATTATTTCGTCGCATGCGTAGATTACCCCTCTTTAGTACAAAGTTCAAGATGATAAAGCTACTATAATAGAGAAAAAACAAAATACGATATTTTAAGCATGCCGAAGTGACTGATTAGTGTCTAAAATTCAGAATAGACAATCATTTTAGGACCATAAAGTATTAATAATTGTGACATGTGTTTTGTGTATTGACTACAAATCGCATATAGCTTTATAATAACAGATACTTTTTTTTCTTTTTCCTTTGTTGTTGTTTTTGTCATCTCTTTAGATTAAGGCAAAGGACCTGTTCAGGGTTTTGAAAAAGAAACATGGTCCAAATTTTAGCGCCCTCATTGCCCAAAAGATTACGGTTGTGCATGGTGATATCTCTAGAGTGAATCTAGGAGTAGAGGACTTGAATTTGTTTGAAGAAATGCGGAACGAAGTGGATATTGTTGTCAACCTCGCAGCAACAACCAGTTTCGACGAAAGGTATAGTTTAACTTTTAAATTTTCAATGAAATTGATTAATTTTTCAACTGATACATGTTATAATTTGTTGTAGATATGATGTGTCTTTTCACATTAACACCATGTGGCCTAAGCATATCTTGAACTTTGCCAAAAGATGCGCTAGAATAAAAGTTCTACTCCATGTATCAACTGGTGGGTCACTTTAATTAAATTATTGTCTACGTTGATTCGATATTTACATTCTTTAAAAAGAGAAAAGAAAAATAGTTATCATAGAGGAACAGTGAGAAATGAATGTCTCTAATGATGTACTATCTCTTAATAATAATAATAATAATAATAATAATAATCTACATTGAATATTAAATTTATATAGTTATATTGTCCAAAAAATATTATATATTTTAAATTTTAAAAGTCAATGTAAATTTTTTTTTTTGAGAGACAGAAAGAGTAAAATTTAAAGGGAAAAAAGATGATCAGTTAATAGATTGCCATTTAAAATATTTTTTTTGATAGATATACCTCTGCAAAGGACATACTAGTCTTAGTCTAAATGTTAATTGTATCCAATTACGTTTCAGTTAAGATTAATGTTGTATTTCACTGTTAACTTAAGATTATCTGAGTGTTCACATGCTATTTGCATATGTATGCAGCTAATTTTTTTTAACCCGTTTTAATTCTCCCTTTTATCCCAGCATATGTATCTGGTGAAAAAGAAGGTTTGATTGAGGAGACTCCCCATCGAATGGGAGATACTCTCAATGGTACAGTTGGCTTAGACATCGACAATGAGCAAAAAATAATTGATGAAAAATTAAAACGACTCCAAGCTGATAATGTCAGTAAACGAGATTTAAATCTAGCCATGAAAGACCTCGGACTCCAAAGGTTTGTTTTTCTTCTTCCTCTTCTTGGGTTTTCTTTTTAAATTTTTATTTCAAGGTTTGTTTTTGTTTTTATTTTTTCTTCTCCGTAGAAACAGATTTATTTTTGTTCAATATTCTTTCATGGCTTATGTGCCACAATGATGGCTTTATACAATTCAAATAGACATTATTCCTTCTTGTCACGATTCCAAAAGTAGATTAAGTATTGGGTGCAAACTCGAATCATACACATATATTGAAAGTAACATATACGGGTTTCAATCCCTACATATACGTTTTGTGTAACTTATGACAGGGCAAGAAATTATGGATGGCCAAACACCTACGTTTTCACTAAGGCAATGGGAGAGATGATTTTGGAAGAATTAAAGGGAAATATCCCTACTGTTATTGTTAGACCTACCATAATAACGAGTACATATAAACAGCCTTTTCCAGGGTGGAACGAAGGATTGAGGTCAATTTTTCGTTCCCACTTCCTCTTAATTATTTTAATCCAATGATATTTTTCTATACTTCGTGAACTGAAACTGTCTGAATTTTCGGAACAGAACCATTGATAGCATTGCTGCTGGTTATGCTAAAGGGAAAATTACTTGCTTTCTTTGTGACCCTAAGACAGTACTCGACATTGTAAGTGCCTTTGACTACTGGACAAAGAGTTACGAATTTCGCTTTCTTTAAATTTGATGAAACCCTTGATATATATAGTTAGCATATTTCTCATATTACTCTTCTAAAATGATTGTCTAGTTTAAATTTTTTTTTTTAATACAATTTATAATTAAAAACAAAGATATAAATAGGACGATCATCACGCGACAGAGAGAGTAGCAAAAATGGAGTTGCAATAACTTTTAACTGCAAATATACAACCGGTGAAAAATTATAGTGAAAATTAATAATGACTGATGTGTCTTTCTTATTTAAGGTTAAAAATATAATTTTTTATGAGAAAGATATAATTTTCACATAAAAATGATTATAAAATAGGGGGCCAACTCAATCACTATTTATTTTCATTGTATATAGTCACTATAGTTATCATTTGCCAACTTTTAAATGGCAACCTGCTACATAAGTCAACCCGCCTTATCCTTCAATGTAAGATCGAAACTACAGTAAATCACATCATATGTCTTTTAAAATTATTTATTTTGTCGTAAATTTTTTTTTCTTTTAGTACCCTAATATTTTTTATGTAGCATATTCTTATAATTTGGGAAAGAACAATGTGTTTTATGTAGCACAATTGTTTTCGCTAATGTCGAGTGTATTTATACATACAGATCCCAGCTGACATGGTGGTAAATGCTATGATAGTGGCTATGTTGGCTCATGCGCAAAACCCAAGCAAAACCCCAATTTACCAAATTGGTTCTTCTGTGTCAAATCCTCTTCTATTTTCTTCTCTTCAAGATTATATTCAGAGATACTTCCGCAAGCATCCATGTTTTGATAAACAGGAAAAGCCTATTCAAGTAAGGGAGGTCACCATTTTCAGAACCCGGAACAACTTTCGCTTATATATGGCGCTTCGTTACTTGGTTCCCCTAAAGGTTTCTTAATTTTTCATATTCCTCTTTAAGTAGTGCACTTCTCAAAGAATTCGTATGAATTTATAATATTTTTTTTTTCCGTGAGAGGAATGGAAGTTATTCTTTCTTAACAACCATTGTACTATACGTCAGTAATTAATTATGTTAAATGTTCACAGGTCTTGTGGATTCTTAATGCTGCGCTTTTTCAATGGTTAGGTGGATTGTACCACAATCTAAACCGCAAAATAAAGTATGCAATGCGGATGATAGATCTCTATGCACCTTACTTGTTCTTTAAGGGAATGTAAGTATCTGATTCAATGAAGATTATTTTAGGGCCGTCATTCTTCTAGAATTATACATAAATTGCAAGAAAATTGCATCTATGTAGATATTCCAGGTGTCTTCTCCTTCTGTTCTATTCGTTTCCCTTTTTGCATTGTGCAGTTATGACGACACCAATACAGAAGTATTGCGACAAATTGTGAGGAAGAACGAAGCCGAGAATGTGTTTTACTTGGATCCCAAAAGAATTAACTGGGAAAACTATTTCATGAACATCCACTTTCCAGGACTGGTGAAGTATACAATCAAATAATGACGCACCCAACTTCTTCCCGAGGGCTGTTGTTCATAAGGTCGAACTGTTTAACTTATGATTGAAGTTAGTGAAAAAGCTGCATGCATGGGTATGCAATCAATGAGGATGAAGGACTATGGATGAAGGCCAACTAAGTTTGTAAAATGAGCTAGGCATTTTGAACCCCAGGGGATATTTTTTGTGTACTCGTACCACTGAATGATATAACTCCATGCAAAAAAAAAAATAATAATAATAATGATTATTATTATTATAAAAAAAATTAAAATTCTCGAGATGTTCTCGAGATCATAACTCCGACACTCAAATTAATAATGAAAATCCGAATTGGACAATAATTTTGGGACTGAGTGAGTGGTATTTTATTTGAGCAAAAAGAAGTATATGTGAATTATTTTTCACTTCCCCTGTTGGCTATGGTTAGATATTATGTATAGCCTCATAAATAAATTCGCAACTTGCCAATCTTCTTCTTATTTTGTCGATGAGCCAAAGATATTTTCTTGATTTGGATTTCCATTTCGTTGTGGATGGGACAAAAGAATCACTGTATTAGTCTAATTCTGTTATGTATAGAAATTGCTCCAAGTCGATGTTTTTGGTCATTCATTATTTGGCTTCATGCATTAGTTTCTGCTCATCATTAGAATTATGTTAGGCCCAAGTGAAATAAAAAATTAATCTGTCCATTATTATTGCCTCAACAACCTGATAAGCTGAGAAGTGTACGTACCATCTTCTTGTAATAAACTATGCTATAACCATTATTTTGTTTACTTGTGACAAACTCTGGTTTGATCTGATAAATATTTCTTCTATTTGACTATCCAATTTATTAAATTGGACCAGTAGTCTTCATATTTAGTTACAAATCCTAGCTAACTCAATCATTCGAATCATCAACAACAAAAAATGTCGGAGAAAGTAGTAGAATTATTCAAGAAAATATCTACAAATGTGTAAGATTATCAACATTAATACTCTCTCTCTCTCAAAATTATTGTCCACTTTGAATTATCATTTACAGTTTAATTTATACTGAAACTAAAAATCTAAACTCCATAATTATTTTGAAATGAAGGGAGTGTATAAGAGAAAATAATTATGGATTTTAGTATGAGCTTTAAAGGTATGGAAGGAGCAGTCCAGAGTAGTTGGTTTTTGTCTTAATTGAAATCGAAGAAGATGAGCGGGTCTAACGAATGTGGTTGATCAGTGAAATAAACTCATTCGTTCATAAATTAAAAGTTGTGGGTCCGAATATCAAAGCATAACTGCACCATTGAAAAATTTTGTGTGCATGATTAATTGATCGTCGGTTCAGTTGATACAGATCATATCGCATGACCAAATTCCTAACGCAATCAAACTGGGAAATTCTAGCATGATGGCCAGCTGCAACTCCTGATCTCTCGGGATTTACAGCAGATGAATCAACAATGATAGATTGACAAGTTGTAAGTTTCCGGTTTGCTTGTAGGGATCAGACACCGACATTCCAGGACCGTACGAGGCCGTTTTATGAATCAACGTACTGCATATAGCTCCTGATAGTCAACGACCAACTTGCACACATATATAATACTCCCTCCTTCGTCCCTAATTCAATGTCTAATTTGGATTGTTTATTTTTTTTCAAATTATACTAAAAATTCAAACAATTTAATTATCAGGCTAGTTTGAATTTTCATGTTCAGTTCAAATCGTAGTGAAAATAAAAATTCAAATAATTTTAAGATAGACAGAATATAAGATCAATAACCATTTTATCTGTCTTAAAATAATGTATTGTTGTGTCTTGAATTAAGATAGGAATAGTGTATAACAAATACGATTCTTACTTTAGAACAGGAGAGGACAAAGGCAATGTCAGCTCGCGAGAGCTACCCAATTCACGTGCATTGATAACCTGGAAGCATCGGAAACAGGTTGCAGCAGAATCTATAAAATATACTTAGAAGTACAGTTTGTCTGGCCAGCCTTTTTTTTTTGTCTGGCTAGGTAATAGGTAGTAGTAGTAATAAAAATGTAAGTTATGCCGGACCATACAGGTAGCATTAATAACCACAAAAATCAGCTCTAAATCTTGCACGATGGATCCAGATTTTTGAGCGGCAAGAGCGATTTGATTCTCTTTAACCCAAATGAGATCACAGTAGAGCAACATGCCAAGTTGCCAACATCAACGATGTTGAAAATTTTAATGTATTCAATCAAATAATGAACGACTTAGGGCCTTAGGCTAGTCTGGTAGTCAAAGTTTAAGGAGAAGAGTTTCCCATTTACGGTTTGCCAAATTCACGTTGGCCTAATGGCTTTTTCTTTTCTTTGGGTCAAAAATGGCAAAAATGCTTAAATGTAGATTTTTTTTCCATATTATAATTATATTTTTATATCAATATTTTTATTTTTAATAAAATTTGACTATTTTTATTTAATTTTTAACTCTTAAACTTGAATAAATAGATACTAACCTCGAAAAATGTGAACCCCCGTTGTAAATTATATAACTACAAAAATAATTGTGAATGATATAAATGTTAACATAAATCATAAAATTTATACAAATCTATTAAATGGCGTAACAACGGGTGTCACAAAAAGTGGCACAGAGCTAGGATCCCGTGTTATTGAGAAGTGCTTCTTTAGTTCCCAAATATTTAGTTAAATGTACAGGTGCATTAAATATGACAGTCATTTTGAAATGGAATAAGTAATAATAGACTATAGTAGTAGATTTGAAAGAAAATTTATTTTCGTGGACTTATGAAGAGTAGTAATAGACTATACATACATGCAAGAAATTGAACAAATAACGAATCCCAACTAAAAAGAATATAATGACTCAATAATTTTTCGGGAAAAAAAAATTCATGAAAACTGATGACTTTAAAAAATTGTACTCTATTGAAATAACACTATGAATTTTTCAAAGGCAACACCAGTTTTTGACCAAAACAATAAAATTAAAAAAAATTATAAATAAATGAACGGGAGTAGACCGAACTACAGAGCTTGTATTTTACAAATCCGATTTTAATCGAAAACCAAAATACGTTGATCCGGTTTACAATTAATTAGTTTTGATTAACTTCTTTAAGAAAAATTAATAAAACTCGGATTTATCATTATTAAATTTTTGTATTAGAAACTATACATGCAAACTATAAAGTGGACTATTCTTTAAGATGAAAGAACATCGTATATATTCACAGACAAAAAAGCTTCGTTCATTAGTAGTTAACTAATACTCCCTTTGTCCCAAAATTATTATCTATTTTGAGATTTTACTTTTAATATAATTTGAATTAGAAACGAAAACTCGCACAATAATTATGGGACACAAGTAGTACAAGGATGATCGACGTACAAACAGTAGCATCCGGGCACCGCGCTAAGTCTTGCATGTGACTCAAAGATTCATTTTGGATTTACTCGATTCAGATGCTAGAAAAATAATTACTTTCATAGCCAAAACAGATAATAAAGAAAAAGATACTTTTCTCAGATTCCACCGAGCAGACCCTCTCAAGTAAGTAATTATTCCTTGAGATGAATAACAATAATAATGATAATAACAAGAATAAAATTTAATTTTATTTGTTTTGGATGAAATGATTGAGTTCAAGCTTACATTAATGAGTTGTGATATCACTTTAATAAGTGCAATGATTGAATGAAATTGATTGGTCTGATGGAGCTGGATAGTATTCTTCGAACCTGGAGAATAGCACCGTTATTCTAACTGGCGTCTGATTTTCTGGCAAAGGGTAGGGCAGATGAGACTAATTAATAAAATTGGGGGAATGATCGCCAGGTACTGTCCTGGTTCTCTTAAAAAAAAAGAAAAAAAAAGATGAGACTGATGACATGGTACAATTGTTTTTTCTTTTTAAAGATAGTATCTGATATTAGTTAAAAGTACCTATGCTTACATCAACAGAAATTATAAGTCATATTTTGTAGATCGCTAACATCAGATCTACTAACTTTAATTATTTGACAGGACTCAAAAGATGAAATCAAGATTAATAATAACACAATAATTTCTTGTACTTTCATTAGCACCGGTGTAGCCCGTAAGTCAATAAATAACAGTTCACAATCCGTGTGAACTTTTATCCGATTGAGCCCAAGTTATGAGGCCTTCGCTGAGCGCCATTAGACAGGTCATGTCTTCTGCTAGAAATAAAGACTCTAAATCTTATTTTGAGAGCCACGCGAATGACAAATCAGGCTTACAACGTTTCTGTTTTGAGGTACATATGTAATATGCTTGGAATGAATTTATTTATTTTTCCTTTTCGCTTTTTCCCCACAGAATGACATTAAAGAAAGGGGTCGGTCCAAAGGACCTGTTTACAATTACAGTGGAGCATAAGAGTTCTTCTGGTAATTGAGGGAGTATGATATTTCAATTGAGGGAGTAATTAATTAATCTTTAAAGAAACATAAGAGGCTATAGTTTGACTTAAATGTAAAATGTGCATGCTTGATTTTGAACAACAGGGCGGTGAGCTGTTTATGGTTAACAAAGAAGGGGTTTTTTTTTTTTTCGGGGGGTGGGGTGTGGAGTCGCATACAATATCTCTTTCACATGCAATGCAATAATTTGAGCCTTAACAACGCATGTTGATAGGAACTTGATCACAACCTTAATAAAAAAAAAACACGCACAAGGAGTTTTCTTAAACAAATTGAAGAAAATCTTTAGGAGAGATGGATATAATTGAGTAACAATGTGCGATGTTTACCAACTAATAAATCTTCCGATCATTCGGATTTTGCCAGCCGAACTTCCAAACTGGAATGCAGATTTGTCCTGCCGCTATGTTAATTGAGTATTATTTATTTTTCACTAGTTTTTATTTTTCCTTTTAATGTTTTATTTTTGGGATAATGATTTGGGTAGAAATTTTTAAGTGGAAATGATCCATAACCATCCATACTTACGCTTTATCTTAAAATGTTTATGCATTTAGGTAATAGTTAACATTCAGTCACACCAAAGTGGTAAGGTGTTTTGGTTTCCTTAAACGAAGTCTCGGGTTCGAGTCTCGTGAATGGAAACAGCGATGTTGGGAGAGCTTTTCCTCCGAAAGGTGATAGATTCGGCTCAGTGCACTTAGAATAATAGAAATTACTCTTCATTGATTTATTAACAGAGATGTACACCGTATATATATACACATAAGGGACAACCCTAATTCTAATTTACTACGGTAAATACTAGTTACACCAATACGCCCCCTCAAACTAATGGCGACGAAGCAGGAAGCCGAAGTTTGTCCCTAAAATGAAGAAATAAATCCTTCGATAAAGGTTTCGTAAGAATACCAGCAACCTGATCAGCAGCAGACAAGGAGTGAATAGACACAAACTTCCGACGAACATGATCGCGAACAAAATGAAAATCCACCTCAACATGTCGTGTACATACATGAAACACCGGATTGGCAGCAAGGAAAACAGCACTACTGTTATCACACCAAATAGATGGAGACGAACGTAAAGAAACTCCCAACTCCGACAACAGGTGACACACCTAACTCAGCTTCAGTAGACGAGCGAGCAACAGTAGGCTATTTCCGAGAACTCTAGGCAAGCAAATTAGGGCCCAAGTAGACAAGAAAGCCAGTAGTAGAGCGACGATCATCAGGATTACCAGCACAATCAGCATCACAGAAAGCAGTAAGAGTACACAAGTTTGTGGGATGAAAAACCAATGCAAGATCAAGAGTCCCACAAACATATCGAAGGGCTCGCTTTAGAGCCTGAAGATGAGCGGTGCGAGGCTGATGCATAAACTGGCAGAGCTTATTAACCGCAAAACAAATATCGGTCCGAGTCAGAGTAGTATACTGAAGACTGCCACAAAGACGACGGTATGAAGTTGCTTCCTCAGGACAGAGCAGCGTGCCATCTAAACGAGACAACACAACACCAGCCTGCAAAGGAGTGGAAAGAGGCTTGTAAGTACTCATATTAGCAACTCGAAGCAAATCAGCCAAATACTTACGCTAAGACAAAATGAGACCCTGCGGAGTACGAGTAACCTCAACTCCGAGAAAGTAACTGAGGGGACCCAAATCCCGAATAGAGAACTCCCTAGCAATACGAGATGTAACATGCTGTACAAAATCGGAAGAACTACCGGGAAGAATGATGTCATCCACATAAACCAAAAGAAAGCATAAATGAGAGCCACGACGATAAATGAATAAAGAGGGGTCACATCGGGATTGCGAGGAACCCATGGCAAGGAGAAAAACAGCCAATCGAGAATACCAAGCCCGAGGAGCCTGCTTGAGGCCATATAAGGACTTATGCAGCTTACAAACATAATGCGGCCGCAAAGGATCAATAAAACCTTGTGGTTGAACCATATACACAGTTTCACGCAATACACCATTCAGAAATGCATTACTAACATCAAGCTGCTTAACCAACAACCCACGAGCCAGAACCACAGTAAGAACAGTACGTATAGGAACCGGCTTAACAAACGGACTAAACGTATCAGTATAGTCAATACCAAAAGACTGAGTAAAACCACAAGCAACCAATCGCGTCTTGTATCGCTCAATAGAGTCATCAGCATGGGTCCTAATCTTATAAAGCCATTGATTCCCAAACAACATTCCCAGATGAAGGAGGAGGAACAAGAGTCCAGGTATGATATTTTTGAAGAGCTGTGATCTCATCCTGCATAGCAAGTTGCCAATGAGGAAGAGATTTGGCTTGAGTAAAGCAAGTGAGTGTAGGGGGAAGGGTGGGTAAACTACGTGTTGTGTAAGTAAGATGAGCAAACTTAGACTTATTAAGAGTGGTATAACGAAGTTGCATATGATGCTGACGCGGGGGAGCAGGCGCAGTCAGAGGAGGGTCTTGAGATAAGTCAACAACTAACTTAAGACCAGGAGGAGAAGTGGGAGCAGACAATGAGACAGACAGTGAAGAGGGGGCAACCAGATGCGAGGAAGGACTCACAGGGGTCGACGAAGGCATGGGAGTGGCAGTGGAAGGTACGGAAGGTGGAGACTGTAAAGCAGAAGAAGGAACAACGGGAGGAGAGGAAGAGACCAACCCAGGGGAACTAGTGACTCTCAACCAGGGAGTAGGAGAAGACTGTGACAAAGGAGGGGAGGAAGGGGAAATAGGACGTTTAAAAGGGAAAAGGTGCTAATCAAATTGAACATGACGAGCAACATCAAGACGATTTGTTGTCGGATCAAAACAACGATAACCAAGATGGAAAGGAGAATAGCCAAGAAAGACACATTGGGTGGAGCGGAAAGAAAATTTATGACGATTATACGGACGAAGTAAAGGATAGACAGCACAACCAAAAACACGAAGAAAGGCGTAATCAGGAGGTTGATGAAAAAGGATAGTATAAGGGATTTGACCATGAAGGGGCTTACTAGGATGACGATTAATTAAGAAAACAGCAGTTTCAAATGCAAAATTCCAAAATCTAAAGGGAGCGCCAGAGTGGCCAAGGTGAGGGAGGCCAATATCAACAATATGACGAATTTTCCGCTCAGCAGTGACATTTTGCTCATGAGCATGAGGACAGGCGATACGATGAATAATACCAACATCTTTGAAAAAAGAGTTCAAGGGACGAAATTCATCACGGCCAGGCTTCTCCCCTACTACGGTAAATACTAGTTACACCAATAAGTGTGGATTAGTCTGAGTGCAATGAACTTATGACACCGTGCGCAGTATGACAAAAAAATAAAATTCAGCCACACTCTTGATGTCAGAAGTAAAACATGGAACAACTAGTTTATTCATTGTTGCAAATCCAATAACAGATCTCTTTTGCTATTGAAAAATGGTCATTAATCAATACATATGCCATCCATATTTGTCTGTAGTTTGAAAGCCATCAGTCAGTCGAACTTGTGCCAATCCTCCCAGTTGATAAAACAATAGAAATTGTTCTATGGAGAAGGTTGTGACAAGGGTGCTTGTTTTTCAACTCCTAAACATCCTTTTGTTGTTTGTGATCACCTGCTTGTCCGAAGACACGATGCCCGCTAGTTTTGTTTTTGGAGATTCAATAGTTGACGTCGGAAACAATAACTATATTGTGTCTCTCGCAAAGGCTAATTATCCACCACACGGAGTTGATCTTGGTAGAGCAACCGGAAGATTCACGAATGGAAAAACAATTGCTGACATTGTAGGCAAGTTAATATTTTTTCCCCTTTTTTTTCCTTAAATATTTATTGATCAGAGAATCAGATAGCTCTCTTTTGTTGCTTTTATTCAACACTTGTTTTAGAGTTTCAACAATGACTAACTAATAAAGCATTATCAGTTCAGACTGATGTAGTAATCATCTAGCTATTAATGTGGATTAATTTGTCTTGGTATATTAGGTGAGGAACTCGGATTCATCGAATTTACGCCGCCTTTCTTGGCACCAAACACAACCAGTCAGATAGTGTTGAAGGGGGTCAACTATGCCTCAGCTGCAGTAGGGATTTTGAATGAGACAGGAATGAACTTTGTAAGCTTTTCATTCTGTTTGCAACATACTTTTATTAGTACTATGTTTTAATACTAAGTTAAGAACTGTTCTCTTTCACACTAGTTTAACCTTTAACTTCCTTTTTCTCTTCCCTTCTTTTGCTTAGGTTGGTAGGATTAGCTTTGATGCCCGGATTGAAAATTTTGCGAAAACTAGGCAATACATAATGAACACACTTGGTGAATCAAGGGCAATGACGTTGCTTTCTAAAGCTCTTTTATCAGTAACAATAGGCTCAAATGACTTCATCAATAACTATCTAATACCAGTTGCCACAAACATCGCGCAGACAACTACATCTCCAACGAATTTTGTCGCAGCTATGATTTCTAGATACCGAATTCAACTCATGGTATGACTTCCGTTCCTCTTTCGCGAAAAACAAACTGTTACAAAACTATTTTCTGTCAACTCTGTAGTTACTAATTTTTTACCCATATTTTCAGAGACTATACAATATGGGTGCTAGAAAAATTATTGTAGTCAACGTCGCGCCGGTCGGATGCATACCATCTCAAAGGGAGTTGTATAATCTGTCTACTGCGGATGGTTGCGCTGCTTTTCCGAATCAACTTGCTCAGATGTTCAATAACCAATTACGGATTCTTGTTTCAAACCTTTCAACTAGCTTCGAAGAATCAGATTTTGTTTATGCAGATGCTTACCGCATTGTGTATGATCTTATTCAAAACTATAGTGCCTGCGGTAAGCGCAATACTCCTACTAATCTAATTCCACTTTTTAATTTTTGTGGAAAATTAACTCATAATTGTATCCATTTTTAACACAAAATTATTGCACTCCACTGTTTTACTAGTTTTAGATCAGGTCCACTTTCTTATGTCACTTTGTCCTTAGCCGTATCTTACTTGCACTTTATTTACATTTTTAGTGTTTGACAGTTTGTAACAATCAAGTTAAAACCTAATTCCTTGAATTTCATCAACAGGATTTGACAATGCCGATTCATCTTGTTGCCACCTTGCTGGAAGATTTGGGGACTTAGTTCCATGTACCCCAGCATCAGAAGTTTGTGAAGACAGATCAAAATATGTGTTTTGGGATACATACCATCCAACTGAAGCGGCTAATCTCTTCATTGCTAAACGTTTGCTTGATGGTGACTCCATGGACATTTGGCCGAAGAATATCAGACATTTGATTTCATCTTCTTCTTAGTTGTTGATTTATTACCATTCGCATCAATAGATCACCCTTAAAAGGAAGATTTTCGTCCTTTTAATTAAAAAATAAAATAATATAGAAACTACTTTAATTTCTTTGAAAGATGAAGTACATGTTATTAACTAGAAAAAAAAAGAAAATATAATTATAAATACATTCGTGCTTCCAACATGCTACATATATATAATAAATCCTTCATAAATTAACAATCTCGATTAAATAATAATTTTGCTGGTCCCAACTCGGAACCAATACAAAAAAAAAAAAAAGAAGAAACTTTTTTTAATGGGTAAGGTAATAATTTTAAGAATAATCTATGTAAACATTGGTCCCCATAACCATATAAACTAATAATTTATCTAAAACTAAAAAATTAAATTTAAAGATTATCTCATATTTAACCTTAATGATTTTTTTATGTTTGTGATTATCATCTTTTTGTGTCATCAAAAAACTTAAATAATAGAGATATGTTTACAACCAACTTTTCTTCTTGTGGGAGAATCAAATTTCACAGTTTGTTGATTAACAGAATTAAAAGAAACTCATTGAATTAATAAACTTTTTACTTTATCAATGAAATATAATCAGTAATTGATTAATAAATGAATAACTCCGTAATTAATAAAATTTTTGAGGTCCAACTGTATTAATTTATAGAGGTTTAACGATATTTCACTTTTTTATTTCAGTACATTATTAATATTTTCTTATAAATGAATAAACAATCTAACTCTTTATTTTTATACGAACTAACTTCCAACGGATTCTTATTTTTTTTTGGGTAAAGCAGGGAACCCTACCAGAGATGGGTAAACCTACGCCTACTGCAATAGCTTGTAAACCAAAGTGGGAGGTAACCCACCCTAACCAAGCCCGGGGTGACAAATCCGGGTGCGAAATAGGGTGTTCATTAGTGAGTTAGCCATAACAAGGCTCTAGAGGTGCCAATAGACAATGTGAGAGTCAACCCCTCACTTTTTGTTGGAATAGGGGATTAAACTCATGACCTTCTCTTGGAGCAAAGGTGGTTTTACTACTGAACCAACTCCTCATTCGCCTTCTAACAGATTTCAATTATAAAAATTTCCATTTCACCTCATCACTAAAATATAAATTTCAAGAAAAAAAATAAACACTTACATTTTCATAACTAGAAAATCTTCCTTTAAGTTTTGTTTTCCATATATTCCCACCGTCCCATAATTATTGTTCAGTTTGTCTTTTCATTTCTAGTTCAATTTATACTACAAGTGAAATCTTAAACTGGACAATAATTTAAGGACAGAGGAAGTATATAGGCTAAATATTAATTTATGTTGGTGATAGGACTTTTATTTTTATAGGAATTCTAAAGAATTATTACCTAATTATATATCATATTGAAGTAGTGCTTTTTTCTTACAAGTCTTAAATTGGGGCGAAATTTTTCTACAAATGAATAAATAACTATAGATCTTCATTCTTTTTTCTAAATACAATTATTTTGACATTCCAATCAAAATAATATCAGGGAGAAAGGGGAATAGGTGAGTCGCAATGGGACAGATATTGTTGTGTTCTGATTGCCATCCTCCTCCTAGCAATGTAACCACGAACCCAGGGCAAGAGGTCGTCGTTGATCTTGATCATTAAGAAGAAGACGACACGATAGATGACAATCATACTGAAGATGATGATGAGATTCACCCATTTTGACCTTTTCACATCAATCTGGAAAACATTCTCCAATATGTATTCTCCTGAGATTTTCGGCAACTCAGGAGTCTGGTTGTCAAAAGACATGCCCTTGAAATCATTTTGGTACAAACCCTGACAATAAAAATGTTGCGTTCAGAATATTGTTCCCATTATATTCCAATTCCAAATTCTATAAAAAGAAATTATATTATAATTAAGTTACAAAACCAAAATGCTTGGTTGATTACTTACCTGAAGAGCCCAAAAATGGAAACTGATGTAAGACATTGGATATCGCCACACTGGTTTTGGGATGAAATTTGGGAGTCTGAAGTAGCCAGATACCAGCAGAAATATACCCTGAATGTTAAGTTCAGTATCATTAAACCTTACACCACAATCTCCACAACAAATAATGAATCGTCACAAAATAACGGTCAAGTCTGACCCAAAATATCTAATGTGGGAACTAAATATAACATTTTGATAGTTTGGATATTTTTCTTTCTGAAAGTAGACACATGTTCAATTTTCACCAAAGAGATTTGTAAAGAAGGTTTTCCCTCATTTTAGTGGGATCCATTGAAGTGAAAAGAAATAATGATAAAGTGATATCTATGGAGCTAGTATGTTGGAGTACACAAACGTGTGTGTACATATATATATATATATATATATACACACACATATATGTATATATATACATATCAACATATATACATATCTATATATATATGTATGTATATAATGTAAATACCTCAATTCCGGCACCAATGATGATACCCATAAGAAAGTCGGGCACAATGCTTGCTATAGCCATCATCAAGCTCTCAACAACAGTGACACATGCATAGAAACACAAGATGTAGTAGAGAAACTGCAAAAATCCTGGATGGAGGCCAACCATAAAATAGCAAAGAGACCCCGAAATCAAAGCAATCAACATCAGGAACGGCATCGCAGATATCGTGTTGCTGACGACAAATGAAGTTATGCCATAGTGGCCGTTCATCCTCTCTCTTCGGAAAACCTGTAAGCTTTTAACTAATCATTTTCAACGCATACGGTATCCATGTTAGGAAATTAAATACATCATGTATCGAGTGAGTATTGAAAGTTATATAAACCTTCATATCTTCTACAAATGAAGGAAATCCACCAATTGACATGAAGGTGACGAAGCCAAAAGTAAAAGACATACAAGCACCCCTAGCCTGCCAAGAAAAAAATGTACAATCACTTATAAGCTGGCGAGATGAATATCTATGATATATTTTTATAAAATCTTACGATTTTTTTATTAATCAGAAGAAAAGATCCATATATACCTGGATGGAATCGTAGCTTGTTCCAACATTAAGATAAATTGTGCCAACACAGATGGAAACCACGGAGTAAATAATCAGCCTAAGCCAGTAATAATTGACATCTCGCGACATGTTGATGAAAGATCGCTTAGTCAACGTATATGCCTGCATCAGGAAACTAGCCCGATTTCCTCTAGAATCTAAAACAGTCCCTTTCTGCGCGAAAATAGTGTTTATCAAGTCAACACTTTAAGTGTTAGGAGTTATTTAATTTCGTAACTCATTTAGGCGGAAGCCTATCATTTGACACTTTAACAAGTGGCAACATCACACTAATTCTCCTCCAACAAATTATCTAGAGAGTCGATAGCTTCCAAGTTAATGGTTTTTAATTTAACAAAAAGAGCACCGAAACTTGGAAGTCCCAAATTATCATAGGCCTCTAAATTGAAAATGAAGTGGAAAAAAAAACCTTGTCCCCCTTCCCACACTTACAATCTTGGACAGCTCCTCAACTTTTTGTTTTGCGAAATAGCAATATGGTGAAGTACGGTAGCTTTCACCAAGGATTTCAATCACTTCGACAGTTGTTATTTCCTCTCGAGCATAATTGTTATTAACCAACAACTGAACCAAAAAACATTAAACTGACATCAATTGAAATCGTATTTTTTTCTTTTCAATTTACGCTTTTGTTGAATTAGTAGGGAATTCAAGTAGAAAATTAAAGAGTAAAAGCAGTACCGGCATCTTCATGGATCCCTTGAGAGTAGCCTTAACTTTGTCAAAATCGGAATTTATACATCTAAGAAAATGATCAGATGGGTTCCTGAGAGATGGACAAGGAAAGCCAGCTTGTGCGAAGAACTGCATGAATCAATTTATTGGATGTTAGTAGATCAAAGTTGTATATGTATATATATATTTAAGGGAAAGTAACAAGGTGAAAAAATAATCAACTCAATGAAGATATATTAAGACAAGAGTTTACCTGGTGAGCTTCTGAAGCCTGCCCAAAGTACACCGTCTTCCCACTCGAAAGTAAGTACAATCTATCAAAAAGCTCAAAAACCTCACTGCTTGGCTGATGAATCGATGCTATCACAGTCCGGCCTTCTCTGGACAGACCACATAAGGTCTGAGTTACGAAAAATGCTGAAACACTGACACCAATCAACCACAATCGCAATCAGACACTCTTTCTCTCTCCATCCTGTTTTTAAAACTCTACTTTGATGAATTCAAACAATACCATAAAAAATGAGACATATTTGAGGAAATAGTAGGGATAAAAAAAGAATGGTTCCCTGAATTAGAAGATGAGAATTTATTATAAACCTATCAAGTCCCGTGGTTGGCTCATCCAGGAAAAGCAAACTAGGCCTGGTGAGGATCTCCAGGGCAATGCTGAGTCTTCTTTTTTCTCCGCCACTGATTCCGCGCAAATGCCAGTTTCCGACAACTGTATCCGCGCAATCCTGAAGTCCCATTTCGATGATGGTGCTCTCCACCAGCGATAGTTTCTCAGCCCTAGACATCCTATTAGGGAGCCGGAGCTGGGCGGAGTATAAGATTGTTTCCCGTACTGTTAATGTGCCGATAAGGTTGTCATCTTGTCTCACGTATGCCTGCAGGCATCGATCAAGTAATAAGTTACTTTAATACTCTCACGAACTAAAATAATTTTCCAGTTTGCATTTTCACATTTCCTAAACTGAAATTGAAAATCTAATCGTTTCAACGCCGAAGGAATACTACGCAGGATGAGGAAGGGGGAGAGAAAAAGCGACAAAAAAAAGAAGAAGCACACACACAAGAAGAAGAAGAAGAAGAAGAAGAAATTTGGAACTGACAGCATTCCCAAAAGAGAGCTTTGGTCTGCGACCATTGAGAAGTATGGTCCCGGAACAGAATGCATTGGACGGAAGCCGGCCAGAAAGGGCGTCGAGAAGGGTGGATTTCCCGGAACCCGAAGGACCCATGAGGGCAGTGAAGTTACCAGGTTCGGCATAACCAGTGAGTCCTTCCAGTACATTTTGTGCTTCACCATCATTGCTGAGGGTAACCATTACAGTAACATCTTTCCAGGTGAGCCTGACGGCCGAATCGCCGGCAACAAATTTAGTGTTTGCTTCAATCTCCATCATTAACTCATCAGGAATGGCGGATGGATCGATGCACGGCGCAGAAGCCATCCTTAATTATATTATGTACTAGTGGCATATGCTAGTACTACCTTATGATAAATCTAACACACACACACACAATAAGTCTCTCAGTCTGTGTAATAATATGATTGTTTTGAGGGGCAAAGCATAAATCTCTTATGGGCTTTCAGATAGATACTTAATATTTGCAATTTTTTTATTCATATTATTCGATCGGTTGGACCGTGCTGGACATTTCCTTGCGCGAAATGCGCTGTCTAAATGATATGTGGGTAATAGGAAAGAACAACGAAATTGTGATGGCTGGCTGAAAAGCATTATATGATACTCTAATAACCATTTACATATTACCTTTTTTTTTCTTTTTTTCTTTTAAGAAAGATTTACATACTAATTTATGGTTTCATTAATTTTAATAAAAAAATTTTTTTTTTTCATTTGCTTTAAAACCTGTTAGATTTAGTATACTTTTTACAAGTACTCTTCCTCTCCCGAAAAATATTTCACATTATTTAATAAAAAATATTAGAAACTAAACCTAACTTATATTGTATATTGATTTATTAGAAGTGCATTTGTCGTGCATATGCCTCTCTGTGCTTTTTGCAGCTTAGCTGGGTCAAACCATATTACTAGCAGCACTAAACAATAATAATCCTTTCTAATAAAAGTGTAATTGATTTTATCTCTTTTTTGTTATGCTTACTCTCCAATCTCCATCTTCCTAGCTAATAGCTTTCAGCTTTTCTTATTTCATTTTCGCTCTGTTCTAAAAAAAAAGAAGGCCATGTTGCATTTTCAAATTTGTACTTCATTATCTTAAACAATCCTTTGTTTTCCACGATTAAGTTTGACATATATAAGTAACACTGACCCCCTCCCCCAATCTTGCCATCTTGAGATGACATATAATCATTCGATTTTTTGTTTTTCGGAAATAATAATTCGAGTTTTGTTTACAATACGCCATGATTGAAGTACTTAAGAGGCTTCTCAGTACGTAATTATATCTCTCTTAATAGGCAAACACATGCAAACGACATGCTCACAAATATATATATATATATATATATATATATATATATATATACACACACACATATATATATTAAAAAAAAGAATTTGTGACCAAATTTATTAATCCCTGTACAAACTAAATCGTCGAATGAATCGCAATCAGTGCACAATGTGATTGACGATTAAGCGTTTTTAATTTCGCGGGAAGATCATGCACGATGAATCAATTATTAGATATGGTTACACATTTGATTTACGATCCTTTAAATTGTATGATATGTTGGATTAATCACAATTAAAATCAAATGACATGATATCTGGAATTAATCAGAATGAAATGGGATCTCATGTTCGAGAGGTGCATACTTTGCGTGCAACAGCAAGCAAATTAACTTCGCCACTTCGGTGGGCTTATAATAGCTAGCACATCGAAGTGCCTAATAAAGATGTTATTCTCGTCTTCTGAAAATTATTTCAATGTTTCTCTATATGCACGAAATGGTTAACGTCGCTAATTACGAAACTTCAATCGATTGATAAACACACATATGCACACAAAAAAAGAACTATTAGGATATTATCGTCCTTGTCTAGCTAAAGTGTAATAATGAAGAGATATCTCCACGGATTGGGATTAGGATCTCGTATAACTTCTGTATTCTAATCGGTGTGATACTAGTCAACTTATTCACAAGTGTCAATATCATTAATACTAATACTCTCGCAACAAAGTGTAATTTAGTTAGTAAGATGTTTCTAATAGATCATAGGTTCGAGTTACGCCAAGAACAAGTAAAGAACTACTATTAAGTGAGTAAAAGTTAAGAAAAGATAATTTCATATAGATAATTAAAGATAATTAATGTTCATACCTTTCTTAATAATTTCATTATTTTCCATGCCGTAGGTGCAAATTCTCCCTTTAAGTAAATGACTAAACATTATCAATCGTCTTACTAGCTGAAAGAGAAGATTTTTCCCCCCAAACGTCTTTAGCTATACTATTGTCATGTTCAGGCTTACACCAACACCCTTGAACTCCAATAATTGTTAATTTAGGAGATGTTCGTGAAAGTTGTGGATACTTTTTGTTTTGGATATTTATTGTGAGTCTTGTCCCGAGTTTTTTCTTAAAAAGAAACAACTTCGCATCCTAGTACTCCATATAAAAACGAAATGATGGTCTAGTTTTTACATTTTTTTATGTTTTTATTTTTTCCTTTAAATTTATGTTAAAAATAAATCTTTAGATTAGATAACCATTTTTTGAGAAAGATGGAGTACTATTCAATTCCTAACCCTGTTGTTAGTTATCCATCTTCCTTTAAGTCTGAAAATTCTGGTGCCAACCTAATTTCATTTACGTGGATCAACTTGATTAACAAACACATTACAAGGAAAAAATTAATTACGTACGATTTAATTTTACTTTTCTTAGTATGCTAAAGAATGAAGAACATATTGTATATACTTCTAAATTAACAAATTGTCTGAGTTGGAAAACACTCACAGCTTCGTGCTCCGGGTGACAAGAATGAAAATGCGAGTAAATGCGTGATTAATTAATTAGCACACCATATGTAACCTTGCACAATAATTTACATGTACGTCAACACCTTGCACAAATGATCAACTAATGCCACGAACTAACAAATCCGAAATTTTAAAACGAGCAAATATAAATCCGTCGGATTTGTAGGGATATTGTCACTCAACAACATTATAGCGGATCAAAGGAATGGGTTGACGCAATTTCGTGTTTGCATGAGGGTATATATGCATATCTTTGCTGTGGAGCTCAAATCTTTATTTTTATGTATATGAAATAAGCTATATACAGTATAGTTGAAATAATGATCAATAATTAATCCTTTGTATATCTAGCTGTATATTGATCACTTTACCTTAGCTGCGATTCATGTAGTATATAAGTAGGTTTAGCCCATCAGCCTATCAAAACAGTAAATACTGATAATTAAACTAAAGTTTTAATTTTTTTGAAAAAAGCAAATGGCTCTTCTTTTTGCTTCTAAAGTGAGTTCATCTCATCTTCTTGTTTGTGTTATTGTCCTCTCTTTATCACTTCATTCAAGAAGCCAACTGCCAGTAAGCTATTCTGTTAAACCCTCTGAGAACGGAGTTGACGCAAGTGTCTCCGCCCACGTGGCAGGTGTTGCTTTGATAGCCAACGGCTCCGCAGGATCAGGTGGGCTGAGTGTCTCAGGTTCCGGCGGTGGAGGCGCTGGGCAAAGTGGCTCTATGGGTGTCTCAGCTACGCGAAGTGGACTCAGTGGCTCGGCTTCGGGTACGGTTGCTGGCCAGACTGGGTCCCTGGCTGGCACTGCCGGATCAGAAGGGGTTAACGGCTCAGCTTCGGGCACGGCTGTTGGGCAAACTGGCTCTGTGAGTGGCTCTGCTGGACCAGGTGAGCTCAGTGGCTCAGCTTCGGGTTCGGCTCATGGTCAAAGTGGCTCCTTGTCTGGCACGGTTAATTCAGATGGGCTCTATGGCTCAGCTTCGGGTACGGCTGCTGGGCAAAGTGGGTCTCTGAGTGGCTCTGCTGAATCAAGTGGACTCAGCGGCTCGGCTTCGGGTACAGCTGTTGGACAACATGGCTCATTGGTTGGGGCTGTAGGACAAGATGGGATAAGTGGTTCAGGGTCTACCATAGTTGTTGGGCACAGTGACCTGATCACTGTCGATTCCTCGAAGCCTGGAATAGTATGCATGAACGTGGATGGTACTGTTCATTGTATCTAGGAAGATTGATCAACCGTGAAATTCCACTTGTTTTTAGATTTGTTTCAATTCCACCAATTAAAATCAAATATGATTATTTTGTAATTTGTCTTTTCACGTTTTTTTACATGTGGGCTCGTTTGAAACGTTTCTTTTAGTGTGTGTACTTTCTGTTGTACTTAAAAAAAACTTGCACTTTTTGGATCTGATTGTTGGAATTTTGTTTGTGGTGTGTAAGAAATCATGAATTCCTACCTTTGCGGAGGAAGAAAACAAACTCCAATTGTTCCATCAGATTAAATACATTAATCAATTTAAGGACCTATTGACACTAGTGGCCTTGTGGATGAATAGAGAATTTTTTCTTTTTCATCAACGCTCATGTTTATAGATGGGATCCCGGCCAATTTAAACATCTTTGTGTAAATCAGAAAGCTCACTATTGTACAATTTATTTTAATGTGACAATTACTCATTCATCATATCCAAGTAATTGAAATCAATAATTTCACAAAGTAATTGAAATTATAAGCGCCTTGCAAAGCCATCCCCTCCGTCACCAAAGCCGCAACCAAACATCCCAAAATTGTTGGAATTTGAGTTCAAGTTGAATGAGAATTTGGTTTCTTAAGAGATTGGAATCGAATGTCGAACTGAATTTTCGCGGACCTGATCAACCCACGTTTTGTTCCGATTCAGAATAGATTTTTCCAGTCAAACCGAGAGTTTAATATATCACGTCAGATATAATTCTGTAGAATAAATTTTGGACGTTTAAATGATCAAATAAATGGCCGATTTAATGAAAAACCGTTTTCAGCTTTATTTGAATTAAAATGCCAGTATTATTTGGCCATTAAGAACTTTGAATGTGAAGGCTAATGTGGTTTGAATGTATAAAATGTTTAAACGTTTTTCAGTCCATAAACTACAGATTAAATTCCAATTCAATGGTGAAAACTGTTTGAAACCTTCAGCAATCAAAGTTTCCTCTCCACAGTATAAATAGTGACTCATAGTTCAACAATCTAGAGACACCTTTTCCCTCTTGTCTTTCAACTTTCTTTTGAAGCCTTTTTTCCCTTCCTGTTTTTGGTGTTCACCAATTTGTTCTAAGTTCACGTTCGCGTGTAGAGTTGCTTTGTGCTAAATAGTCTCTACGCTTCCGTTATATCCTGGGAAACAGATGCTCACGAATCTTTTAGCACCTCAGGAGGGGCAAATCTATTTTAAGGAAATCGTGTTTTCATGAGTCTCGAATTTTCGTTTATCCAAATTCATCTATAGCCTTTGCGAATACTTAGCCTATTTCGTCCAACAATACTTAGCCTTTGTGAGAAATAAGGCACAATATATGAAAATGAATTCATGGTTATGGATGTATCATGTGTATGCCATGAGTTGTGTATGAAAGAATACTTTACATGCCTAGCACATTTTATTTGATTAATGATGGTTCTGGTATGTTTTAATATGATGTGATGCTTGCGTTTGGAATGACTCCATCATTTACATGAATGAGTCTTGTGAGATTTGCATTTTGAAATAACGAACAGAAAAAAGTTTCAATGAATGGAAACTAATTTATCAGTTAATAGTAATCTCAAAATAACGTTGAATACTATTAAAGCACAAGTATTTTTGAGCTACTTATTAGCAATAGTTATTGAGGAAAATGGTTTTTCATTGAGAATTATTGCTATAGTAATTTTCATAATTACTTTGGTAGTGCGAAATTTGAAAGTATAATGCTTGAAACTGAGTAGTATGATCAATGATTGCAATATGAAACTATTTTGCATATGGTGGTACTATGAATTTGGCTTATAGCAGCCATAAATTAATTTCCCTCAAACGTGTTGCTTAAATTTATGTGATCATAAATTGAGATAATGGATGATACTTGAATTGGTCTGTGGAGTTCCAATCATTGCTACTAAAACCACAAAGTTTTGTTATGGGTTTCAGTCTTTGTTGCATGGGGCTTGTTAAGGCTTGATGGCTAGAAATATTACTACCATTGTGAAACGTATGTTAATTATTTAGCATTGATATGTTTCATTTATGTTCTATTGTAATCAACTAGTTGGGAGTTACAATTTGCCAATGTTGAATGGAAAATTAAAAATAGGAATTTAATAAGATTTTTTATGTGCGCGGCTTTATGAGAAGGAAGTTACCTAATGGTGGACATAAATGAACATAATGGAAAAGCTTGGAAAATGCTTAATTAAATGGTAGTAAAGTGCCTTGGTCCTAATTTCCATAATGTTTCATGATTGAAATTATGGACTTATAAGAAAATATATTTATATAATGATTGTGTTCATAAGAGTTAAATTCCAGAATCGAAGTTTAGTTAAGAATGTTGTCTTATCAAAAATTAGATATATGTTATGTCATTTGCAAATACTTATGATGATAGTAAGTGTATTTATTTAGTTATCATAAATTGTGGTCAATTAAGTATTACAGAAATGCAACCATGAATAATTTTGGGCACTAGTGGGGCATAAGTTTTGTGCTACAAGAACCATATTAATGTGGAATATGATTATTGTAACATAATTACCTCGCGTTGGAATAGTGGCATTTTAACTATCTATTGTTAACTAAATGGGATCACCATTGTTGAACCGTTTTGTGTAGTTAATCATGTGGACAAAAGTAGTAACTCCATGCGTGGAAAAGGGATTAACATGGTGTTTCCAATTGAGTTATATATTTTGGATATTAAACTCCTGGAGATTTGTTCTCTATAAATAGATTTTAATCTCCACGAAATTGAGATTGAGAATCTATTCGGTAAAAGAATTCCGACATTGGAAAAGTGGTACAAATGGTGAGTGAGGCGCCACTTGGTGACTTCTTTACACAACATAGAATTGTCTATGATGTGTCTACCATGGTTACCTCTATTTAATAGAATTCTAAAAGTGAAAATCATAATTTGAAGATATGTTGAAACTAATATTTTCAGTTCAATTCCACCCAAAGGTGGGGGAAGTTTTTTTGACAACTGATTACCTAATTAAGGTAAAAGGAAAAGACCATCCTACAAACACTTGCAAGTGTGGGGTGTCTGGCTAAGGTAGTTATACCTCCGCCAAAGGCAATCAAAGGACCTAAGACGGTCGCTTGAATTTTATTGGCTATGCACAAAACAGTAATGAATATCGGTTCTTAGTGTATGATTCGAAGATTTTGGATATACACAAGAATTCAGTTATGGAGTCAAGAAATGCACATTTATTTGGAAACGTATTCCCTTGTAAGTTTAAGGATGAAGCTAGCTCATCAGCTAGTTCATCAAGACGAACTTATGGAAAAGTTCATGACTCAGTTGAGGTTCAAGATGTTGAACCAAGAAGAAGCAAAAGCGCAAGAATGGAAAAATCATTCGGTGATGATTTTGTAACCTATTTGCTAGAAAGAGAACCTCTAACTTATGCTGAGGCAGTAAGTTATTCTGAGAGGCCTTTATGGGAAGATGCCATAAAGAACAAGATTGATTCAATTTTGTAGAATCACACTTGGGAGCTTGATTGATCTCCCACCTGGAAGTAAGCCGTTGGGATCCAAATGGATCTTTAAGAGGAAAATGAAACCTAATGGTTCCATTGATAAATACAAGGCCAGGCTTGTAATAAAAGGGTATAAACAATGAGAAGGTTTAGACTACTTTGACACGTATTCTCCCGTGACGAGAATAAATTCCATAAGAATGATACTTGCTATCGCAGCTTGAGAAATTTGGAAATGCATCAAATGGATGACAACTTTCTTAAATGGAGATTTAGATGACAAGATCTATATGGAACAACCCGAGGGTTTTCGTGCTCCAAGTACAGAAAATAAAGTTTTTAAACTAGTATAGTATTTGTATGGTCTAAAGCAAGTGCCTAAGAAGTGGCATGAAAAGTTTGACCATGCAATGATTACTAGTGGATTCAAAATCAACGAGTGTGAGAAATGCGTGTAGGAGACAGAAAACGATTATGTCATACTCATTGTTGATAGTAGTGACAAGTTGGTCAAATCTACTAAGAATATGTTGAATTCGAAATTTGACATTGGTCTAGCTGATGTGATTTTAGGTGTTAAAATCATAAGGACAACGGATGGTCTAGTTTTGAGTCAAGCTCATTACATTGACAAAATTCTTAATAAGTTTAACAAGAATGATTATGGAGTCGCGAAGACACCATTAGATAACATTGTCCATTTATCCAAGAACCATGGACAAGGTATATCCCAAGTGGGATATTCTCAGATAATGGAAGCCTGATGTATCCAATGAATTGTACTAGGCAAGGTATTGCTTATATGGTGAGCAAGTTGAGTTCATACACGAGTAATTCTAGTGCTGAACGCTGGACTGCTATAATTAGAGTACTGAGATACCTAAGACATACTCATGACTTTGATTGCATTATACCAAATATCCATCTGTTTAGAAGGGTATACAGATGTCAATTGGATATCTGATATAAAGGACTCACACTGAACAAGTGGCTACGTGTTTACACTAGCTGGGGCAGCTGTGTCTTTGGAAATCCTCAAGACAAACTGTAATAGCTAGATCCACAATGGAATCCGAGTTCATTACCTTGGACAAGTGTGGTGAGGAGGCTGAATGGCTAAGCCATTTTCTGGAGGATATTCCAAAGTGGAAAACACATGTGCCACCGATCAGTATTCATTGTGATAGTAAATCGGCGATGGGAAGGGCACAAAGTACTCTGTATAATGGTAAGTCAAAACATATTCGTCGTCGACATAATACTATTAGACAACTCCTCTCAACAGGAATTATCACAATTGACTATGTGAGGTCAAACGATAATCTTGCGGATCCGCTAACCAAAGGGTTAAATCGAGAGGCAGTTGAGAGATTGACCAAAGGAATGGGTGTAAAGCCTGTAACGAGAAAAAAGTCTTAAGAAGGAAAACCCAACCTACTTGACAGGAGATCCCAAGATCTAGGTTCAAAGGGATAACCTTATCATAAGACTTAGTGTGGTCATTGTGGGAGAAACCTCAACTCATTCCTGTCATCAAACAGTGATATGACGGAAAAG